AAAGGGATAAAAATATCTTATTTTACACTTATTCACACAACAAATTAATATCTACATCGTATAAAATTATCTAATGCTGTAAAAAGTTAGGAGAAGATGGCAATAGAGGGTAATCTGCAGATCCCAAATAAAAACTGTATGTTAAATCCTGTAGTCTAATGCATGGCCTAAATAGTGTTTCAACAGGTGTTTTTTTGTTTTTTTTATCATACTTATTCAGAAGAGACATTTAGGCGATTGAGACTCATGCTGGAGACTTTGTGGCACAACAGAGGCCAATATTTTCCATTGGGAGCCTTTCTTTTGGTCACAAATATATGATCATATTAATAATGTATTTAGGTGTCTTATACCTTATTTTGATCATGTTTAGCTGGCAGATACTTTTCATTAAAATAAGAAAAAATAAGTTCTTGTTCAGGAAACTCTTTTTAAAGCCATAACCAGGAAGTGGCTAAAATCAGTCCCTGCAACCAATCGAATGGATCAACATTATTCTAGAAATCTACATAATTCAAGGAGTATTTAGTTTTAAATTCAAAATTCTGCAGAATATGGCCACAATGGGCCGAGTGTGTTAAGCCCATAGGGTCTGTTAACCTCACTGTTTTTAGTGAATGAGGGTTATTGTTGCTAGAGACACTCTTCTCATGTTTTGTTCCTATTTTTTTTGTCCTGTTTCCTAACGACAAATGAAAAGTTATAAAACAATAAAAAAAAACAACTGTGTATAAAAAAAAAGAATTCAGCATTTTAGTTAGAAGGACGTGAACAGAAAGGTCTAAAGATGCGATGTTGACCTTCACTCCCTCAGCCTTTCCTTGTTAGCAGAAATTACTGCAGGATATGAAAATGTTCATAAGTTCTTGGCCTCCCTCTTGTTCACTGTTGCCTCAGAGGAGCATGCAGATGTAATCCTCGTTGCTCTTCAGAGCTCACTCTGATAAAGTTGTGTCTTATGTAAGGAGCAATAAATGAACAGAGCCTCACGGCTCCCCATAAGTAGAGAACTCTGTTTTTGCTCTACCTTCATGCATGGTAAAATCCCGCATGAAGGTATTGAACGTTGTATAAGAGCCTTTGACAAACGTGTACCCCAGTCTACTATCATTACTTTGCTCTTAGTCCCCAGCAGCCTTTCAGCAGAAGGCTTTCAGACGGTAATTATAGTCGATTATGAGCCTCTGTGTGGTTTGAAGAAGCTTCACCACATCCATAACTATGCCTTTGTTAGCACCTCCACCATGCAGACACTGCTCATGCCTCTTGCTTTTATTGTTCATTTTATTAGATCATATCGGGTAAAAATGCATTTTGGAGAGGGGCTGGAGTGTGCTAACCTGTGCTAACCTAGGCGGAGCGAGACATGCATCTGGCTGTTGTCAGGTTAGGAGTGTGCAGGTCCTGAAGGAAAGGGTTTCAGGTTCAGGTGACACAAAATATGACTGAATCAGATAAAAAAAATAACATGATTTTGAACATATTAACCTCATTAATGAAACAAAGAGTCATTATTGAGTAATAACGGACATTAATGCATTTGTGAACACGTCTTTTTTTCTGTAGCTGGTACTGACAGTGATGGTTCTGTACCAAGATACTGTTGATAGAAACAGCTCTCTGTTCTAATGATGTGGTTTAATTAAATAATCCTGGAATGTCCCACTGAGATGGAAACATCCCTATTTTGTTGAAGTGGCAATAACTAGAGGTGAAACAATTAATCATGATTAATCGATTATTTAAATAATCGTCAACTAATTTAATAATTGATGACTCATTAACTAGAGTATAGAGACTCAAAATAATGCTATTATGTGACAGAGCAACCGACTTAGAGCAGTAATTAGACCAAGATTGTAAAAAATATATATATAAACCTTTTGCAATTAAGATTTATAAAATGTTCTCCTTCAATAAGCTCTATCCTGATCCTCACAAGTGAAAAAGTTTAAGTTTCACCTGGTTTCATTTCGCAAACGGACCCTTTGTCTATCTGATTCTTAATCGCATAATCGAAAAAATAATCAATAGATTAATAGATTTACAGCTCCGGCAAGAAGCTCAACCAAAACACTAACCGGGAAAACAAAACGTGTTTATTAAACGAGGGAACTATCTAAAGCGTGTATACAATTCAATAACATTTGAGCAATCTGCAGGTATGGTTGTAACTAGTTATTAGGTGCTTTAAAAATATACATTTAGATATAAGTGAAGTGATATCCAGTTGTGTAGTGTAAAACTATTGGTAGGCTTTCCATTTTTAAAGACATTTAACGCGCCATGATTGGTATGTTTAGGCCAAATTTGGTGTTAAAAAAACAGT